TCAGTTAGCTAGCTGCGGCATCAGTTAGCTGCGGCGTCAGTTAGCTGCAGCGTCAGTTAGCTGCAGCGTCAGTTAGCTGTAGCGTAACGTCAGTTAGCTGCGGCGTCAGTTAGCTGCAGCGTCAGTTAGCTGCAGCGTCAGTTAGCTGTAGCGTAACGTCAGTTAGCTGCGGCGTCAGTTAGCTGCAGCGTCAGTTAGCTGCAGCGTCAGTTAGCTGCAGCGTCAGTTAGCTGCAGCGTCAGTTCGCTGTAGCGTCAGTTCGCTGTAGCGTCAGTTCGCTGCAGCGTCAGTTAGCTGCAGCGTCAGTTAGCTGTAGCGTAACGTCAGTTAGCTGCAGCGTCAGTTAGCTGTAGCGTAACGTCAGTTAGCTGCGGCGTCAGTTAGCTGCGGCGTCAGTCCGCTGCGGCGTCAGTCCGCTGCGGCGTCAGTCCGCTGCGGCGTCAGTCCGCTGCAGCGTCCGTCCGCTGCAGCGTCCGTTAGCTGCAGCGTCCGTTAGCTGCAGTGTCAGTTAGCTGCAGTGTCCGTTAGCTGCAGTGTCCGTTAGCTGTAGCAGCTGAGTCTGTACGAGGCCGACCTGTCAGTGCTGATGTCCGTCCACCCTGGTGTTGTGTGAACTCTCACCTGTCTGCTTTTAGATTTAAAGGCACAGGAGAGGAGAGGGCAGAGCAGGAGGTTTCTGCACTTTAACTTTAGTTTGATGAAGCCCCGCCTTCTTGTTAACCAGGTGTTAACCTTGACGAGTCACGAGCCAGAAGGTGAGACAGCAGGAGAGAGGAGACGTGTCAAAAAGACAGATTAAAGAGATGAATGGAGGAAGAGGAGAGGAGCTGTGACGTGTGTGAGAAGAAGGAGACAGATCTAAGAAGGAATGAATGACTTCCTGTTAACTAGCAGCGCCTGAGCTCTGAGGTGTGAATGAAGTGTGTGTGTGTGTGTGTGTGTGTGTGTGTGTGTGTGTGTGTGTGTGTGTGTGTGTGTGTGTGTGTGTGTGTGTGGCTGCTGGGAGTGACGCATGTGAGAATCCTGAGGAGTCTGGTGGTGAATTCCTCCAACCTGCAGCTCAACACCATGGCAACAGCACACAGACAGAGCGGAGGCAGGACTTTAGGAAGCATTCGATTCACGAGTCAACCAGGACCGCCAAAATAAAATACCAGCTGGACCTGCTGCCTAACGCAAGAGTAACACAACAACACAGACAGAAACTTAAAGTCTGCTACTGCAGGGTCTGCTGGACACTAAACCCTGCTGCTGCAACAACCTGCTGCTGCTACAACAGCCTGCTGCTGCTGCTGCAACAACCTGCTGCTGCTGCTGCTGCAACAACCTGCTGCTGCTGCAACAACAACCTGCTGCTGCTGCTGCAACAACCTGCTGCTGCTGCTGCTGCAACAACCTGCTGCTGCTGCTACAACCTGCTGCTGCTGCAACAACAACCTGCTGCTGCTACAACAGCCTGCTGCTGCTGCTGCAACAACCTGCTGCTGCTGCTGCTGCAACAACCTGCTGCTGCTGCTACAACCTGCTGCTGCTGCAACAACAACCTGCTGCTGCTGCTGCAACAACCTGCTGCTGCTGCTACAACCTGCTGCTGCTGCTACAACCTGCTGCTGCTGCTGCTGCAACAACCTGCTGCTGCTGCAACAACCTGCTGCTGCTGCTGCAACAACCTGCTGCTGCTGCTGCAACAACCTGCTGCTGCTGCAACAACAACCTGCTGCTGCTGCAACAACCTGCTGCTGCTGCAACAACAACCTGCTGCTGCTGCAACAACCTGCTGCTGCTGCAACAACAACCTGCTGCTGCTGCAACAACAACCTGCTGCTGCTGCAACAACCTGCTGCTGCTGCAACAACCTGCTGCAACAACCTGCTGCAACAACCTGCTGCAACAACCTGCTGCTGCTGCAACAACCTGCTGCTGCTGCTGCAACAACCTGCTGCTGCTGCTGCAACAACCTGCTGCTGCTGCAACAACAACCTGCTGCTGCTGCAACAACAACCTGCTGCTGCTGCAACAACAACCTGCTGCTGCTGCAACAACAACCTGCTGCTGCTGCAACAACAACCTGCT